CTCCTGTCTTCAGCCGCCAATATCCCAACAAAAAATATTGATTTGCTGCAGCATGCGTACGTTCAAGGAAATTCTACGCCGATCTGATGAATGCAAATCAATTGTGTTACTCTGCGCTAGCATAATTTCCCTCTACTTTTTTAAAACCTTGCTTCTATAACAAAATCAATTCCTTGTCGATCTACTGAATATAAATCAATTGTACTGCTTTTGATATAAAAAATACTATTTTTACAATATTTGTTAATTTTAAATTGCATAAAATTATAAGTTATAGAATTATTAGTCTAAAGCTTTCACATTTTAAGACTAAGTGACATAAAATAAATATAACAAATACAAAATAATAATTAATTACATGTTCATTTATTGGGGAATACAAATTTTCCCTTTTCCCTTTTTGTTGATTAATCACACATTTATTCTGAAAAATGTAAGATAATTTCCCTGTGTACAATATTTGTTAATTTTAAATTACACAAAACTGCAAGTTATAGAATTATTAGTCTAAAGCTTTCGCATTTTAAGACCAAGTGACATAAAATAAATATAAAAAATACAAAATAATAATTAATTACATGTTCATTTATTAGTGAATACAGATTTTCCCTTTTTGCTTTTTGCTGATTAATGACACATTTATTCTGAAAAATGTAAGATAATTTCCCTGTGCTCCAAAAATATTACTTTTATCAAATTTCTTTAGGACATCACTTTTATTCTCTACAAAATGATGATTAATTAGATAATTGCTTCAAAAATTATAGGATCGTTTCCCCCTATTTCATAAATGTTACTTCTGTAATATTTATTGATCAATAAATTATTATGGAAGTAAATATTTTTTCTGCTATCGAAATATTATGGAAGTAAATGACATAGGAATCATCAACTGCTATCATTCTAAAACTCGATGGATCTTTCAGGTTAAAGGAATAGAAAAAACAAAAGGTTGGCTAGAGTTCCCACAAAAACACTTCTTGTATGAAGGAAGTGTCATCCTCTTCACCCTACTCAACAAAAACAACTATGATTTACAGCTCTTCTGAAGAGACTTTTTCCAATAATCATAATTAAGCATCTCCCATGTACCTTATTACGCATACCAACTATATGTCCCTTAAATTCTCTATATTTTCCACCCAGTTATATCTAACAATATAAAAATAAACACATCCAAAATATACCAAATTATTAATTTATGTTAAATTTTAAAAAAATAATTTACATTTCATTATTTTAACTAATGTTTCCATCCTATTCATTTTAAAAACTAAAATACAAATCACATCACTATTACTATATCTATTTATAAATATATTAATCTAATCTGCCACATCACTGTCTATGATTCCGACCCTATTATCATACAAAACACTCTAAATATCAATTATTAAATAAATCTTACATTACATATATATATGTACACATACATAAACAAATAAATAAATATATAATTAACAAACAAAACCACAAAAAATATAAACACTACAAAAATTTAAACTATTCTATCACCTAAAATAAAATACTAAACACACACACACACACACACACATATATATACATACATACATACATACATACATATTACAAAATATATCATATACCTATAACTATATATTAATACAAAATTCACTCTAACTTTAAGTAACATAAAATAACTCATATAAACATCAAACAATAAATATTAAAAAATTCTACCACAAATTGCATTGATTAAACTCTATAATTTTCATGTCCAATAATTTTTATTTCTTGTACAAAAATTTATACACATCAACTTACTTTCAATAATATCCATTTATCAATAAACTATTAATATATCAAATCTCTCAGCTCTCAAAATTAATATTATCCTTTATTTATTCAGATTCTATTAATTAAAAAAATACAACTTCTATCTATTTCGATCACATTCATTCATAACTAAATAAACATTATCTTTACTTATCCAAAAAAACCTACTTAATTAATAAACACATATTTTACCAACGTGCAATATCAAATTATTTCCAAATTATTAATTTATGTCATCATACAACACCCAAACTATATCAAAATTTGCCAAAAAATATCTATTATGCATTTATTTCTCAGCAAATTTTCAATTCTTTTATATAATTTCCATAGACTTTTCCACTACAACAATACACACTTTCTCATCCTAGCTATCCAAATTATAAAAAATCATCGTCTAAAATACATAAACTGCCAATGCCCAAAACAAAATAAATTATAACACTGTCAATGTAATTCTTCACCTAATTTTCCATGCTATAAACTTTAAAAAATTAATATATATTCCATTAATTTAAATAATATTTACTCACCCCACAATTAAAATACAAAAACAAAATTTTTTCAATATTATCCATTAAATCCCTAGATCATATTAATTTTAAAAAACACAATACAAATCAAATAAATTTTACTATATTTATTTATAAATAAATGAATCCAATATATCAATGCTCTATCCACTATTTCAGCTCCATTATCATACAAAATACAATAAATCTATGCTATTAAATAAATTTTTCATTACCCTAATATATTCAATAATGGACACCCCGCGGAATCCGCGGGGCACCAAGCCTAGTTCTGAATAATTAGTTGTTAAAACCATGGTGACTACTTAGCTATCTTAAAACGTACGAACTGAAAATAATCCAAATGTGTTCGAGTTTTGAAGCCATGCTATTTCATCTCGTACAATTCAAAGCTCTAAAATTTCTCCAACAATCTCCATTTATATATGGGATAATTTCAGAAACCACCCTTGAGGTTTCTAACAATTTCACTAAACGCCCTTAAAATTTAAAAAATTACACATACCTTCCTTAATTTGATAGTTTTAATAACAAAATCTTAAAATAATATTGACTTGGTCAAATTTTTAAATAAATATCCAAAAATACCCTTGTGTAATGAGTTTTAATTTACTTCCCTATAGAATTATAAGATTATCTAATGTAATTATAAGGAAAAGGTGTCGAATTTTTCATATCCATACCTATTATTTGATAAACAATTATAATAATAATTTTATCACTATGGTACAATACTTTTGATAGATTTTATTATGGATTTAGATTTATAAAATAGAAAATAAAACGTTGAAATAATTGATTCAGAGTTTATGAATTATTCGAGCAATGGGATTATCATAATTTAATAGTGGTTTTGGGCAATTTCTTTTGTATTTATTGTTAATTTTAATACCAAAAAATAGAAAACAAAGATTAGCAAAAACATTGGATTATGTATAAAGTTAACTTATCAACATTTGGTTATAATAGAAATTAGAGATAATAGTAATAATTCTACAATTTTATTGGCAAAAAAATTAAAGTAAAAAGGAATAAGAAGGAAAAAGAATGAAAAAATAATTTTAAAAGTCATTCTAAGTATAAGCATACCAAACAAGGGAATTTCATTAAAATATTTAAGAGTAGTATTGTCATTTTAACTGACAAGGGAAGTACGTGTAATTTTTCAAACCCCAGAGGAGCTCAATGAAATTGTCAGAAACCTCAGGGGAGGTTTCTAAAAAGGATAATTTCAGAAACCTCAGGAGGTTTCTGACATTTACACTCACCTCCCCTGTGGTTTGAACAATTACACTAACCTCCCCTGAGGTTACTAATCCTTTACAAATTCAGTCCAAATGATTAAAATATTGTTTTAGAGAGTGAAATTAGAATTTTGTACCTGATTTGCCCTTTGTACTATGTGTCCAATGAATGACAAAGTATTACAAATTAATTAATAATTAATAAACTTTAAGGAGCGTAGTTTATAAGCAAATACGTATTATTTATTTAAAGTACCAACTCTTTACAGGTATTTTACTTTCAAACATTTACTTTATTACAAATATTACTTTAAAGTACCCTCCATTTACAGATATTTTATTTTTAAATATTTAATTTATGATAAATATATTAACGTTTGTGATTAAAAATTAAAAAGTGTTACACTAATATTCTCACTAATATTCTCGCAAAAAGAAAATCAGTAGGTTATCTATTTAATATAAATTAAATATTTTTTAAAAAAAGAAATGTCCCATAAAGTATTAATTTTTTATGATTTTCATCCATTATATGAGTAAAGTATTAGCTCTTTATGAATATTTTATCCTGAATCATTTAATTTAAGCTAAATACATAAATATTTATAACTAAAATTGAAAAAGTGTTATATTAATATTTCTACGAAAGAAAAACTGGTAGGTTTTTTATTTAACAAAAATTAAATATTTGAGAGTAAATACAAATCTATATTTGAGAATAAATATTTGTAATAAAGTAAATGTTTGAAAGTAAAATACCCGTAAAAAACTCGTATTTTAAATAAATAATACGTATTTGCCTATAAACTACGCTCCTTAAAATTTATTAATTATTAATTAATTTGTAATACTTTGTCATTCATTGGACATGTAGCACAAAGGGCAAATCAGGTACAAAATTCTAATTTCACTCTCTAAAATAATATTTTAATCATTTGGACTAAATTTGTAAAGGATTAGTAACCTCAGGGGAGGTTAGTGTAATTGTTCAAACCACAGGGGAGGTGAGTGTAAATGTCAGAAACCTCAGGGGAGGTTTCTGAAATTATCCCTTTCTAAAATTATCCCTTTATACATCGTATGAATTGCAAAGCTTTTGGATAGCCAAATAATGGCCAAAAATTATTTGCTTACATCACAAATACAATTTCTAACACACCTTTTTATCTTCCCAATTAATTTTTTATCTCACATACATCACATCACAAAAAGTGCTACAGTAATTATTCCAAATAATATTCCAAATAATCTCCTATCCAAACATACTCAAAAAATGTTGCCGTTTAAGATATATATTGCAGTTGGAGTTACACTTAACACATGAGATTTAGCTAGCAGACAAAGGTCATATTTGGGCTTTAAGGTCCATCCAGGAAATGCATCCGTGTCAGTACCTTCCTTCTTAATCCCAAAAGGTAGTTCCCAATCAAATGATTCCCATTAAAATTCCAGGACATCCGCTCCTTCCAGCACCAAATGGGATGAACTCAAAATCCAATCCCCTGTAATCAATAGCACTATCGAGGAACCTCTCAGGCCAGAATTCAATTGGATTTTTCCAATGTTCAGGATCCCATGCATTGACGAATACCAGCGTTTCTGGTTGAATCTCATGTTCACGTATGTAGCATTTCCCAATTGTTTGTCTTGGCACTAGAAGTGGATATGGTGGATACAATCTCAGGATCTCCTTGACCACTGTTTTAAAGTAGAGAAGCTTTTCAATATCATCTTCTGCCATTGCTGATTGAAGAAATTTGCTTCTGGCTTTGCTTTGCTTTAAGAATGGGCAATTCATAGGAAAGATGGATAGGCAATTTGGTAGAAATATGTTAATCAGTTCAAACACGCAAATGACAAGCTATATGTATCTCAGTTCAACCTTAATCCACAGAAACTTCTTTACTTTCTTCAAACTATAGCTTTCACGCAAAATGTTTTGTACTTGTCTAAAAGCAATTCCTTAGGGTAAAAGCCATCTGTTTCACAAGAAAATAATGTGTTGGCATATTCAAAGGGGATTTCTATCATGTGTTGGCACCGTGTAAAACACCAAAAGAAAGAATGGTGACGAGCGCATTAGAAGAACTTTAACGTTACCACCTACTCTGAATTGTGCTAACTTTCAGGCAAAAGATTTATACTTCTGCCTTATTTTCGACAAAACTGATATAGAACCCACATGTTATCTGCCCAAAAAAAAAAAAAACTCACTTTTTATGCTGGGCTTTTCACGTATAGCAAAAAGACTTTTATTGTTTTGGTAGGCAGAGCCAAAAGCAACAGGGGATGCTTGCGTTGGTTTGCTCTGCTCTCTGGTTAGTAGGAACGCAGCTTTGGAAGAAGGCCATATTTTACCAGAGAGTTCATCAAAATTTTCAATCACTAGCACAAAATTTTAAGCCACAGAAAGTGCAGACAATTGGTTTAGGTGCACCACAAGATTATCTAGAGAGAGAAAATAGTACGTGCTTCTTATTCATTTCCCAGAAATTGTTTTCCAGATGAGGATGGAACACGTTAAATCTTGATTTCACGTGCTCATGTTTGGGTCGAATGGTACGGTTTCGAAGCAGGACAATAAGGGAAAGAAATATACCTCCAACGCTGAAATTAAATTCTGCCAACTCCAAACGCTCAGGATTTTTTCAGAAAATGGTGTCCTATTCATGAAATGGATTAAAGAAACTTATCCTCGATGATTCTTGAATGCACATTGGAACTTCAGCAAATTGCCAAAATCAACAGGACAATGTCTAAAAACGTAATGTGCCCCAAAACATGGAGTCAAGTTCTAATCTGTCTCTTGTAATTGAATTGATTAATTAACTGGAAAAATATAATATCAAGCAATCATAGTCTACTGAATTTTCTTTAAAGTCCAAATTCTTGGATTCCAAATCCGACTCGGCAGCACGCCAGCAACCTAAATCCACAAACAAAGGAAAATAATTGTTGTAACTTGTAAACCTATCAGTTCCCAAAGTTTTGACACTTGTGTTTTATTATAGTCCCAAACTTATACCAGCACTTAATCCGCAATGTTGTAGGTACTTCTGCATCCGGGGTTTGTAATGTCAATCATTACTCTTATTTAGCCGCCAGTCATCTATATCTACCTATTATATAAGAAAGAAGTCAACTTTCATACTTTGTCTCCTTACTTGTCGCATGGCTTCTTAATAACTTGACAAGTTCTTGTACATTGTTATTCTTGCCATTGCACATTTTTTTTTTTTGGCTTTTTATTCATGCAAAATCAAACAAGTCTGGCCTTATGTTTACAGGTGTTCATCGATCGATAGTCGGAAATTCGATAAAAAAGTTTTGATAATTTGGGAATTGATTTTTTAAGTCCAATATCCGATTACCGTCCAAATCTTAGTTTGATAAATTGGATTGGAAAATCAGTAGTGAGTTAAAATATTTTACTTTGCTATAAAAAAAATTGTCATAACAAAACAATATCCCATATGTTTTTCAACAAAATTAATCGACTTACTCAAACAAATATGAAATGCAAAAAAGAGGGAACTCATAATCTCAGTTTTTAAACAATATTGAAATAAATAAGAATTTCAAACTTAATTGTTAAGCTAAACTCCAATGTATCAACTTCCATTAAAATTTTATCTCCAACTATAGTTATAGTTAGTTTAGCTAATTACTAATTAATATTTAGTGATAGGATTAAGATTTACTCTTGTATTTAGTAATATACGTAAGTGGGCTTGTATTCTACTTTTGTCTTCTATTGATTTTATGCGAAAGAATGATTTCCACTTAATTGTTCTTGATATTTTAAGTGGGCCTGAAGTCTTCTAGTATTAATACAGAAAAACATCCACTATCAGAAATCGACATAAAAGTTTAGCTAACTCTAAATCTTTTTTTTTTTTATAACTCATTGGACATAAAAATCGACAAACAACCAAAGGTAAGGAGGAGCTCTGGTCAGGACAAACTATTTTATCAGGCCATTTTCTTGGCCTCTAATTGGTATCGACTCTCCTCTTCAGCATCCGCTATCAGAAAACTAATTTGTAGCCATTTAGCTATGTCCATGGCCTTGTTCTAAGCGCTTTGAGGTAGAAGGAAATGTCTAAGGCGATGAAAGTTTAGGGCCTTGTTCTTGGCTTTTTTCACTAAACTTAATGTTTATGCCACTAAACATAATATCTAGACTGAGCTTAAAGAGATCCTCGTACAAATCTTGATCATTAGAAATCAGATTCCAAAATCATTCCTTCCCAGTATTAAAATATAAATAAAGTACCCTTCAAGAAACTGAAAATAAAGGAGATTTCCACGATGTAGGCTGGGTGAGGGTGCATCTTCAGTTCTGAACTTTAGTTCAGGTGTGACACCTCCACCAGTTTAACTAATTCATGTTTTCTTCCCGACCCCAAAATACTTATCAGATTATGTCTGAATCAAGTGCATTGCCTTGCTTCAAAAGGAACGTATGCAATTATTGCTCCACATCAATGTAAAGGTGAAAAATATATGAAGTTTTAAGCAACTCAGTTGGCCAACAGTCAACTGTCAAGATAACAGTAGAAAAGGAAAAAGACACTAAATGACTAAAATTCATCAAAAGCCCGAAAGTTGAGTTCTAATAAGCAGTTGATATTGCACCGATTACATGAATTAGACATGCACGTGCAGCAGTAAATATACTGATTAGTAATACAAGGGGCAATGCTCAAAGTTTGCCTATTTGTCCTAGAAACAACCAGAGCAAGAGAGCAGCCATAGACCTGATCTCATGTCGACGGATTATTAAATAACGCCAGAGAACTTTTGATTCTCTAACTCAAATGGACAAACATCAATAAACAATTGAATAGCAACGGTTATGACCATTCAAGTCTCAGAGTTCCTGATCCAAACCCTAATCAATTGAGGTGTTCAGAGTTAATTCATCCCATTATTACCTCAATCTCGGAAGGCAAATGGAACGCGGCAAGGAAAACCAACACAACAACCCCCAACCAGGAGTTCTCAAGGCTCTCCTTTCCTTCCTTTAAGGTTGATTACCGCAAGTTCTTTTTCTACAAATTCCCCAGCGCATATGGGTGGATAAATGCCACCATGAGGAGAGTCAGCAAAGTGGCCTAGAGGTTTCAACACTGCATCTGACGCGATATGTGCAAATAGCTGATGAAAGGTAAAAAAAGATTCAGAGTTAGCTAAGCTTTATAATTTAAATCAAGCATTCAGCAATTTTTACTAAAATGAGATATTAGGAAGAAGGGAAAGAAAGAAAAAAAAAATAGCAACTAAGATTACCGTGGATGAAACTCTCCAGAGGCTACAATTTTGCTTTATAGCTACTTTTATTGCATCAGTTGTCCTACTATTTACAACAACTTCATGCATGCCAGCTATACAGTCTCCTGCAGTCAACCACTCTATCTGCATGTTCAGTAAATCAAAAGCACGTGTCACCAGCCATTAGCACAAACCTATATTTCATGTAAAGAAAATGCAGATAAAGATTCTGAAACTAAAGATTCACACTTACCAGTAACCAAATACAAAACAGATAAATTCCATAGCAATGGAATGCATTCTTCGTCAATTGTTTATTCATGCAAGTGTCCATTTCTTTGATGTTATTTGTCATCAAATGTACTCTATCCACTATTTATTCTGAAATCCTTTTGAGGCCAATGGCTAGAATGGTTAATAGTTCTTGCTTAAGAAACCAAAACTGAGCAGCTGCTTGCTCTATTTGTGTCAAGCTAGTCATGTCTAACACCAGCAGGTTCAAGCAAATTGATGAGCTGATCTTGCCAAGTGCACAGTGAAATAGCATACTCTTACCTGTTTTCCCGTCTGAATGAGAAGGCATCCTACAGGAACCTTCACTCCCATTTTTTGGCCATTTCTCAGCCAAATATTTAGACCAGGGAATCTGCTTCTGCCATGAATTGTAAGGAAGTTGAGGTCGTAGTGGTATCCTGCAAAGACAGTGCCCTCTTGGCCATGACGCCGAAGATCACTTCCTGTTGGTGCAAGTAGATGTGGTCCCTGGAATTTGAAAACACAAATAACCCTGTTGGAAATCAACACCGAAATAATTCAAGAGAAAAAAGGAATTAAATTAAGGTAAAGAGAACAGAGATTGGCCCCTGTATTAAAATGGTCCCTAAAAGTACAACTTTGAAGGAAAACGAAAATGATTAGGGATGATAGGGTCAAAACCCTCATGCAAAACGGGCTCCAAAATTGGGACAGACCAAATTGACAAATTTGAACACATTGGCATTATACTCATCCAATTTTTTTTTTTTCTAGCAGGGGAGGGTGGGATTTAAGAAGCAGGGAGGGGGAAGGGGGAATAGAATGCAGGACTTCTAAGTCCTGAGGTCTCAACCTTAGCCACTAGACCAAGGCCTACTTGGCTAATCATCCAATTTAATAAAGTCAAGAACCCAAAAAAACTCATCAATGATTTAGGGACCACAACTGCATTTCTCAAATAGTTGGTTTCTATTCTGTCAAATGAAGCAAAAAATACATTCCAATTTCAACTTCAGACAATTAAACACCTGGATGGAGACTCAGAACTAAGAAAATACTGAGGATCTCTTGGCAGGATGCAATGTCATTCTCTGCATCACAGTAATTCAGGCAAAGGTCAAAGAGAGATGGATATTAACATGCATTCCTTATTTTGCAAAAAGACATGCTACATCACCCTTATAGAACAACCTTTTATGATAGTGCAACCAA